TCTCCATTGGTGTCATATTGGTGCAATGCTACTTTCTGAACACTGTGATACGATCTGGCTTTCAATGTGATTGTGTAATCTGAATATTGTCATCTCGCTTTTGTTCATTTTCCTTGCAATCTGGTATCGGAGCTGGTTCGAACTGCGCTCATTGGTTCTTCGCAATAGCTGTTAGGTGCTTCGCATGAGTTGTGGCCAGTGATAAGGCTTGGGCGTTGATCAGAAGGCGGCCCAGGGTCGTGTGGGCGCGCCAGAAAGCCATGTGGTGACATTAGGGCTGTACGCCGGATGATGAGAGCTCGCTGATGTGGCATTTAAGCCGAGGTGGAACTGCATTCTGCAGTTGGTTGTGCCGAGGCAAAGACCGATCATCATAAATGCACATCAGGTTGCCGGCGAGAAATCTATGGTTGGGGGCAACATTATGAGGTACGTTGCTTCCTTCCTTATCTACCCTCTTCATTGCTTCTTACCGTGAGGAAGTGAGTTATGCCTTGAGAATCCTCTCAATGTGAGGTGTCGCGAGCGCTCAACCTTGAGAGTCGACATTCTTCCTGGGCAGCAAGTTGGTGGGAGACGGGCAAAGCCTCTGAAGGGCCCTGGACGAAGCACTCGGGTCACAGTCACCATGCCAACCCGCTGGGACTAGTACACGCATGCTTTGCCGCAAGTCCTTCGTTCTGCTGCTGTGCAATAGAGGTCATGCAGGGCATGCCAACCCTTTGACAGACGCTTACCATACCGTCTTTAAATATTTCTGGCAGGGACTCGGTGTTGATTCTGGATGTGATCGTCGTCTTGTCTGCGACGTTAAATAATTCCAGAGGAGTTACGGGGGATCTCCTTAAAATGCCTCCTCCTCATCCAGATCAAACCGGGTGTAAGGCTCGTTGCATGCGAGGGTAAATAATGTGCAGGGGCTGGCAGGTTCGATGTTTGACTTGGGGCACAGGGGTGGGCCGGATTGCACACCTTTAAACATGCTGCTCAACCAGATGCCTAGGAACATTGACACAAAGCGATTGCTCAAGAGGGATATATGGAAAGGGTTGGATTCCGACAATTGCTCGCCGTGGCATTAATTAGACAAACAACCATTCAACATACATCTCTGCAGGGAGCGTTATTTCTATTTTTGATTATTTAGTTGTTACGGACTTGACTGACAACTGACAGACAACTGCAGATAAAATAGTATTCTTTGCTGCATTGCAATCCGTATTAAAGTAATCTAAAAATAAATTTAATATTCCCTGTAGGATCTGACTGGGTAACACCTAACCACCTAACTGTTTCTGTCCAGGCCGACCGAAGTTAGTTGTGTATCATAATCGGTTGTGTGTCATGCTGAGGTAGGATTCTGTGTGGATTCTAGTTTAGATCACACACACTGTAGCTCATGAGTGATGCAAGCACTAGTGAGGAGGAGTTGTTAGTGGACGACCGTCGGACTACTCGAAGAACTGCTCTCAGTCAACCCTTGACTTTCCTAGAGTTAGGTCCAGGAGACGAGAGGAGACTGCGGAGAGAGGCTAGAGAGAGAGCAGCAGCAAGGAGAGCGAGGGACGCGGTGGCCAGCGCCAGGTCTAGAATTGTAGCTAGCACAGGTGCAACCCTAGCCACCTCCTCCATGTCGCATGCCCCTTCACAGGCCACTTCGTCAGGAGTCAGTCAAAGTGGTTCTCATGTTTCCATTAGCCAGAGTGCTGGCTTGCAAGTCAGCCAGCAGACTCAACTCACGCGTTATGAGATCCTCCAAGCAGAAGAACTTCAGGATGAGTTGCAGCGGCAGTTGGATGAAGTAGCGGAGAGAAGAAGAAGAGCTATTTTGAGAAAGAACAGACTAGGGAGTAGGAGACAGGAGCTAGGCAGATTAGAAGCATTAGACGAGTCAGCACTTGACCCTGCGATGCGAGCGCTGCTTAACTCGCTTCTTGGTATGGCAGAAGCGCAGGCTGTCCATCAGGAAGTGCTGGCTGAACTAGTGGCAGACCAGAAGCAGATTCTGGCTGCACTGCAGGCCCCTCGTCCTATGATGAGGCAGCCTCAGTATGCTGTAGTTCCCCCATCGATTGCAGGTTCATCAATGACGCCGTTGCCGGCTGGGCCCTCCTTCTCACCTATGTTTGGTATGCCCCCTCCAGGTGGTTATGTAGCAACCAGTGGTCCGGTCCATAGAGTCTCGGTCGTACCATCCACGATGGTGGTTACTACAGTCCCACTGTCAAGCCCGACCCAGGTTAGTGTGCAGCAACCTGTTTCGGTGGCTATGCAGCCACTGCAGCAATCCCCTGGGCCAATGCGGCCTATGCAGTGGATGCCCAGAATACCCTTGTTGAGTCCTAAGCCCTTCTCCGGCGACAGGAAGAACGATGAGGACTTGGATACCTGGGTGAGGACGGTGCCCACCTATGTGAGGCACTAACTTACAAGGCCGGAGCAAGAAGTTGTAGTAGCTGCCTCCTTTCTAGAGGGGTCAGCAGCTTGCTGGTTGAATGGCCTAGTGCAGCAACAGGGCTATGGTAAGAACTTCGATGCCTGGGCCCAGGCCCAGACATTGGAAGAGTTTGTACGGTCCGTGTATAATAGGTGGCATGACCCGCAAGGGGCTCAAAAGGCCAGAGACGCGATCAACAGTCTTTGTGCCAGAAGGTACAAGAATGTTAGAGAGCTTACGGATACCGTAGAGCGTCTGCTCGTGGTACCTGGTGCGCACTATGATCAGCAAGTACTCCTTACGTATTACCTTAGATGTCTGCCTTCAGAGGTTAGGACAAAGCTGGTAGACGAGGCCTATGTCGAACAGCACAACTTCGCTTCACTCAACAAGAAGGCCTTAGACATAGAGGCAAAATTGGGGTCTGCGCATCAGAGTCAGGATGATGGTAGGAAGAAGAGACTACCCCAAGACTGGAAGAAGAAAGGTCAACTAATGTTCGTCGACCACAATGGCCAGGCGACAGAAATTGAGGAGGCAGAGCACGATGGGGCCAGCGAGACTTCGATGGGGGAGTCGTGGCACCCATCAAAGAAAAGGCTAGGGGGATCGGGAAGAAGAAGGTAGGCCGGTCTACGGGTCAGGGCGACCAGGGAACGCCCGCATGGGTAAAACTTGGTTTAGATTACGAGGTGTGGAGGGACCGAGTTGCTAGGGGTACGTGCATGAACTGTGGCAACTATGGTCACACGTCCCGAACTTGCCGAGGCAAGAAAGTCCTAACGAGGGTAGCCTCTCCAACAGTGGTGGGACTATCTTCGAACCTTGGAAGTGCTTCTGCGAGCACTTCACAGGGAAACACCTCGGGCCAGTAGGAGTTTTAGCCGCTCTTACTCGTGCTGAAGTGGTAACGTTGCCTTCCCCACTTCAGGCGTTGGCCAAGGCTAGTGACCCACGTAAAGCCCCGCAGACACATTCAGACCCACCGACGCTCTGTTCGAGAGATGTGTCAGAGAGTCCCTAGAAGAGTTAGAGACTGAGTTGTCAGGGAAGGACCCAGAGACTCTTGGGCGATGATCAGTAGAGGTCCAAAGGGTGAACATTTCGTGGTAGAGGTTGATGTAGGTGGCCGCAAAGTTGGTGCCTTCGTAGACATAGGCTCTACACGAAACTTCATCACTCGTGCTTGTGTGGATAGACTGCGCTTAGGGGACCAAGTGCAACGGCTTAGCAGAACTGTAGCTTCTACGCTAGCCAACAAGCACCAAATGATTGTTAAAGACTATGTCAAGGACGTAGTCTGCTCCTCTTATGGAGGAGAGGAAGTGAGACATAAGATCTCATTCCTCGTTAGCGACGAACTGCCGTTCGATATGCTACTAGGCATGTACTACCTCGAGGTCGCCCAACCTCAGTTTGATTGGGATAGGAAGGTGTTGATACACAAGTTGCCAAATGGTAGGACCGTTAGACTGCAGAAGTAGAAGGCTAGCATTCTAGTGGAAAACTACGGTTGCATGTGTGCTTCCTCTTTCTATAACTACTACAAGCAGAATCGCGAGGAGGGCATGTATTTAGTCTTTGTCTCTTAGAAAGGAGAGACCGTTAAAACACCCCCAGAGATAAAATCAGTCGTCGCGCAATATTCCAACCTTTTTTAGGAGCCCACAGGCGTGGTAGAAAGGGAGGTGGTCCATGCAATAGAGGTTGTCCCAGGTAGCAAGGTGCCTAGAGGACGAATCTATAGGATGTCTTATGCGGAGTTGGATGAGCTCCGCCGCCAGCTCAAGGAGCTCACAGAAAAGGGATAGATTCGGCCTAGTACCTCCCCTTACGGTGCGTCAGTTCTATTTGTCCCAAAGAAGGGAGGTACCCTGAGGATGTGCATTGACTATAGGGGCCTCAATGCCATCACCGTTAAGAACGTGGAGCCCCTACCCCGCATCGACGACCTCTTGGATAGAGTGCAGGGATGACGGTACTTCACCAAGATAGATATGAAGTCCGGATACCATCGAAATGCCATTAGACCTGAGGACCAGCACAAAACCGCATTTCAGACCAGGTACGGTCTGTACGAGTTTGTGGTGATGCCCTTTGGCCTATGCAATGCACCTGGTACTTTCCAGCACACGATGAACAAGATATTTCATGAGTACTTCGACAAGTTTATCGTCGTGTACCTCGACGATATTCTTATCTTTAGTAGGACTGTAGAGGAGCACGCTGAGCACTTAAAAATAGTGCTACGTCTCCTAAGACAACACCAATACAAGGTTAACTTGGAGAAATGCGAGTTCGGTCGCACCAAGATCTTGTACTTGGGTCATGAAATCTCAGCGGATGGATTGAGGCCGGATGATGCTGATGTGGCCAGCATATGTGACTGGCCCAGACCTCAGACTGTTACTGAGGTCAGATCGTTTTTGGGGATGACGGGCTACTATCGTCCGTTTGTGAAGAACTATAGTACTATTGCTTCCCCATTAACAAATCTAACTCGACTTGACACCCCTTGGGAGTGGACTGAAGAGTGTGAGGCGGCCTTCAGGAAACTATAGTATGCCCTGACACACTATGAGGTTCTCAAACTTCCTGATCCTGATAAACCCTTTGTTGTGACCACATACGCCAACCAATATGGCATTGGCGCGGTCCTTGCGCAAAAGGAGGGGTCAAAGTTGAGACCGATCGAGTATATGAGTAAGAAGATGCCATCTCAAAAGCTAGCAAAGTCCACGTATGAGCGTGACCTCTATGCCCTATATAGAGCGCTGGTTCATTGGAGACATTATCTCCTAGGCAAATTCTTCTATGTGAGACCTGACCATGGGACCTTGCGCTGGATCAAGACACTGCATGTGCTCTCTGATGCACTCAAGCGATGGATACAAGTGATAGACATGTATGACTATCAACTTGATCCCATCAAGGGAGAGTACAACAAAGTGGCTGATGCGTTATCTCGTCGGCCAGATTATCTGGGCGCGTTAGTTACTGAATTTGGCATATCCAACGATCTAACTCGATCATTGGTGGAAGACTATCAACAAGATCCAGTTATGTCTGAGATCATCTGTAGATTCCAAGCAAAGGACAAAAAACTTTGGATGAATTTACGATGATAGACGACTTGCTGTTTCTTGAAAAGGCAGGGAATAAAAGATTGTGTGTCCCCAGTAGTGAGTCTTTGCGTAGTTTATTTTTAGGGTAATGTCATGATGCAACTGATCATTTTGGTTATAAAAAGACTTCAGCTAATCTAGTGCAAAAGTTCTGGTAGCCCACTATGATGCAAGATGCAAAAAGGTATGTTGAAACCTGCCAGGTTTGTCAAAGGGACAAACCTAGGACCCAGGCTCCGCTTGGGCTCATCAAGCCCTTGCTGATTCCTGAAGGTCCTGGTTAGAGTGTGTCCATGGATTTCATGGATACCCTTGTGACCAGCAGGTCTGGAAAAAGGCACATCTTCGTGATAGTGGACCACTTTTCTAAGTATGCAAGACTTATGGCTATGCCAGAAACTACTAAACCGACTATGTCATTAAACTGTTTCTGGATAATTGGGTAAGGGATTTTGGACTACCTACGTCAATAGTAAGTGACAGGGCCGTAAGGTTTACCAACGAACTGTGGGAAACGACAACTGAACAGATGGGTACCAAGCTCCAAATGACGTCAGGGAATCACCTTGAGTCAAATGGCCAGGCAAAACAGATGAACCGGGTAGTACAACACCTGCTTCGACATTATATGAAGCCAAGTGAGGATGACTGGGATGAGAAGTTACCTCTCGTCGCCAGCCTATACAACAATGTTGTGCAGAATACTACTGGTACGACTCCCAACCAGCTGCATCTTGGTTGGAAGCCCAAAAGTGCACTTTCTGCTACCAGAAAGGCAACCTACTGCAGCACATGGCAACATAGAGTTTGCTGTCAAATATGAACAGATGCTGCAGCAAGCCGTTAAACAGAGTAGGAAGTCTCAAGATGCTATGATCGCATCTGAGAATAAACATAGACGGCCCTCTAACTTTCAGGTAGGCGATAGAGTCTGGTTAAAGTCATCTGAACTGGGTTAGGAGATGGGAATTTCAGGCAAACTGATGCTACAATATTTTGGGCCCTGGGAGATCTTTGACATTGCAGGGGATCAACCGGATGGGCCTTCATACGTGATTCGCATTCCTCCACACTTGCGTACTTACCCTGTATTCCATGCATCCAAGCTGGCACCTTTCGTTGCCGCAGATCAGTTCCCCTCCAGGAGATCAATGCTGCCCCCAACCATGGATGACGAAGTGGACATAGACCAGATCGTGGAGCATCGTCTGATGCCAGTTCCTCGACCACCGGGCAGAGGCCGCCCTCCTAAGCCAAAAGTGCAGTACCGGGTCAGATTCAGACATCATCTGGACCCCAGCGAAGATCGGTGGTTCACCAGAGAAGAACTCATGAGAACTGCACCTCAAGTCATTGCAGGCTATACAAGAGATCTTAAAGGGAAAATGCCTGCAGAATAGAAAACTTCTCAGAGGACTATCGAAGTACAGGAGGAGGGAATGCGAGGATGTGGGTCCTCGGCAGGCCTAAGGGGCCCCCTGCAGCAAATGTGCCCGCCCTAAGTGAAGGCGGGCCTAACAAATCACGAGAGGTCCTTGGCTGTCAATTTCGTATTTGGGGTCCAGGCAGTTTCGTAGCGCCAGTTGGTTGAAGGGAAACACAGGCCAATCAGCGTGGAAATTCCCAGGCCTTCTAGGCCTTTCCAAAAAGCACAGGCCCTGGGCAAGATTCGCAGCCTCATACACAAACAGTTGGAGGCCCAAC